ACGCGTGCCCACGGTTACAAACACGCACACCAAATTGACAAACGCCCGCAGCGGCGTGCGTGGCAAAAGCTCACGGAGGCGAGATGCTCGATGCTTAGAACCAGCACGGGAAAAAAACGCCATCAGGATCAGACCAGAGGTCGCAACCGGGTACCCGATACCCATACCCTACCCGTTTGCGACCCTGGTGCGGCCGGGTACGGGTACGGGTAGGCTGTGAGTCACTGGTGAGTCACCGTTTGTCACTCATTCGGGTAGGGTACGGGTAGGGAACAGGTACCCGTACCCGGCCAGGTACGGGTACCCATTTGCGACCCTGGTGCGGCCAGGTACGGGTATGGGTAAAGAATCAAAACCCGTTTGCGACCTCTGGATCAGACGCAGCTTTTGCACAAAACCGTCAGGAGGTGGGTCTTTCGAAACTCCCGTTCGCAGTGCACAACAACGGTGATGCCTAACACGGCGAATCGCAGACCGACGCGTTTAATTCCTCGCTCCCAACGCACAAGATGCCAGGGCACACAGCCGTCATCGTCGTCATCGTCATCGTCACGCGCCACGATCGATCCCCTGCTGGACAAAAGCCTCCACCAACTCCGTCGCCATGCCTCCTCGCGGTCTCGCGATGCCCAGATCTACCTCCGTCTCGAGCCGGGGCCCGCAATGGAGCAACCGGTTGCGGAACTCGGTTGCGAAACCGGTTGCGTGCGAGGAACCGCACTTGAAGCCGTTCCCCCCCCCCCCCTCCCCCAGAGCCAACAGTTGCCGACGTGCGTGGCCTCGGAGACGCGAGCAACGAGAGGCCGCGAGATGTGGCCAGGAGAGGGCAGTGCAGCAAGCGGGATTGTAAACTCATCTGTGTAGCGGAAACTTTGTGGGCTATCCCCCCCCCCACCCCATCCCATTGTGCGTACGCCGTCGTGGATTATCTCCGGCTTCTGCTTCCCACCGTCATCGCTTACGGAATTGGCGTTGTGACCGGTCAGCGGGTAATAGGCAGCGATCGATTGACCCTTCCCCCCCCCAACCCCCCCCCCTCTCTGTCTCTGGCCAGCCCATGAATCGTCACCGAATCGGCGGTCGCGGTCACACCGAGCGGTTAGTATTTGGGTTGTCCACTTTGTACCGTCTCGGTGGCGAGGAGATGTGAACACCCTCGCCTGGTTTACAGGAGGTCGTGGTGTCGATCCCGACCCCAAACCCGACCCCGACGCCTGCCGCTGTGTATTTGTAATTTGCGTGCATCTCTCCCCCCCCCCCCCCCCCCCCCCGCCTGTGGTAGTGTAGATTTTTTTTTTCCGGGTCCTCCGGTTTTTCGCCCCCTCCACATTTAGAATCGACATGATGCGTTTAGAGTTGTTGGCTACTATCAATTTCCACGCGTTGACGATGAGCCAATTCGTGGTGCCGTCATTTGTGATGGCCAGGTCGCTTCTGAGAAAGAGCGACATCGCTCAGTGGAGCCGCCTTACCTGGTAAAAACACGAAACAATAAATAGTTTGGTTTTAGTTGAAAGTTTAGTCCGAATTCACGTCGCTCGTATCTCCGTCTCATTTCGGTGCAAAATTCCCACGGCGTTCACCCAAACCGTTAAAAACTCAGGCCCCTCGCAAACAACCCTACAGGTTCAATCGCGACCATTGCTTCCGAAACCTGAGAATCGATACGCATCACTGTCATCCCCAACACCCCCCCCCCCCCCCCCCACACTACTGGCTTAACATCGCCCCCTTAACGTCCCCAACACAGCGGGACCACTGGTTTAACATTGTCCACAACACATCGTAAAACCACTGGTTTAACATCGTCCACAACACATCGTAAAACCACTGGTTTAACATTGTCCCCAACACATCGTAAAACCACTGGTTTAACATCGTCTCCAACACATCGTAAAACCACTGGTTTAACATCGTCTCCAACACAACGTAAAACCACTGGTTTAACATCGTCTCCAACACATCGTAAAACCACTGGTTTAACATCGTCTCCAACACATCGTAAAACCACTGGTTTAACATCGTCTCCAACACATCGTAAAACCACTGGTTTAACATCGTCCCCAACACAACGTAAAACCACTGGTTTAACATCGTCTCCAACACATCGTAAAACCACTGGTTTAACATCGTCTCCAACACATCGTAAAACCACTGGTTTAACATCGTCCACAACACAACGTAAAACCACTGGTTTAACATTGTCCACAACACAACGTAAAACCACTGGTTTAACATCGTCTCCAACACATCGTAAAACCACTGATTTAACATCGTCCCCAACACATCGTAAAACCACTGGTTTAACATCGTCTCCAACACATCGTAAAACCACTGGTTTAACATTGTCCACAACACATCGTAAAACCACTGGTTTAACATCGTCCACAACACATCATAAACCCACTGGTTTAACATCGTCCCCAACACATCGTAAACCCACTGGTTTAACATCGTCTCCAACACATCGTAAACCCACTGGTTTAACATCGTCTCCAACACATCGTAAAACCACTGGTTTAACATCGTCCCCAACACATCGTAAAACCACTGGTTTAACATCGTCCCCAACACATCGTAAAACCACTGGTTTAACATCGTCTCCAACACAACGTAAAACCACTGGTTTAACATCGTCCACAACACAACGTAAAACCACTGGTTTAACATCGTCTCCAACACATCGTAAAACCACTGGTTTAACATTGTCCCCAACACATCGTAAAACCACTGGTTTAACATTGTCCACAACACATCGTAAAACCACTGGTTTAACATCGTCTCCAACACAACGTAAAACCACTGGTTTAACATTGTCCCCAACACATCGTAAACCCACTGGTTTAACATTGTCCACAACACAACGTAAAACCACTGGTTTAACATCGTATCCAACACAACGTAAAACCACTGGTTTAACATCGTCTCCAACACATCGTAAAACCACTGGTTTAACATCGTCTCCAACACATCGTAAAACCACTGGTTTAACATTGTCCACAACACATCGTAAAACCACTGGTTTAACATCGTCTCCAATACATCGTAAACCCACTGGTTTAACATTGTCCACAACACATCGTAAAACCACTGGTTTAACATTGTCCACAACACATCGTAAAACCACTGGTTTAACATTGTCCACAACACATCGTAAACCCACTGGTTCAACATTGTCCACAACACATCGTAAAACCACTGGTTTAACATTGTCCACAACACATCGTAAAACCACTGGTTTAACATTGTCCACAACACATCGTAAACCCACTGGTTCAACATTGTCCACAACACATCGTAAAACCACTGGTTTAACATTGTCCACAACACATCGTAAACCCACTGGTTTAACATCGTCTCCAACACATCGTAAAACCACTGGTTTAACATTGTCCACAACACATCGTAAAACCACTGGTTTAACATCGTCCACAACACATCGTAAAACCACTGGTTTAACATCGTCCACAACACATCGTAAAACCACTGGTTTAACATTGTCCACAACACATCGTAAAACCACTGGTTTAACATCGTCTCCAACACAACGTAAAACCACTGGTTTAACATCGTCTCCAACACAACGTAAAACCACTGGTTTAACATCGTCTCCAACACATCGTAAAACCACTGGTTTAACATCGTCTCCAAAACAACGTAAAACCACTGGTTTAACATCGTCCACAACACAACGTAAAACCACTGGTTTAACATCGTCTCCAACACATCGTAAAACCACTGGTTTAACATTGTCCACAACACATCGTAAAACCACTGGTTTAACATCGTCCACAACACATCGTAAAACCACTGGTTTAACATCGTCCACAACACATCGTAAAACCACTGGTTTAACATTGTCCCCAACACATCGTAAAACCACTGGTTTAACATCGTCTCCAACACAACGTAAAACCACTGGTTTAACATCGTCTCCAACACAACGTAAAACCACTGGTTTAACATCGTCTCCAACACATCGTAAAACCACTGGTTTAACATCGTCTCCAAAACAACGTAAAACCACTGGTTTAACATCGTCCACAACACAACGTAAAACCACTGGTTTAACATCGTCTCCAACACATCGTAAAACCACTGGTTTAACATTGTCCCCAACACATCGTAAAACCACTGGTTTAACATCGTCTCCAACACAACGTAAAACCACTGGTTTAACATCGTCCACAACACAACGTAAAACCACTGGTTTAACATCGTCTCCAACACAACGTAAACCCACTGGTTTAACATTGTCCACAACACATCGTAAAACCACTGGTTTAACATCGTCCACAACACATCGTAAAACCACTGGTTTAACATTGTCCACAACACATCGTAAAACCACTGGTTTAACATTGTCCCCAACACATCGTAAACCCACTGGTTTAACATCGTCTCCAACACATCGTAAACCCACTGGTTCAACATCGTCTCCAACACAACGTAAAACCACTGGTTTAACATCGTCCACAACACAACGTAAAACCACTGGTTTAACATCGTCTCCAACACAACGTAAACCCACTGGTTTAACATTGTCCACAACACATCGTAAAACCACTGGTTTAACATTGTCCACAACACAACGTAAAACCACTGGTTTAACATCGTCTCCAACACATCGTAAAACCACTGGTTTAACATCGTCCACAACACAACGTAAAACCACTGGTTTAACATCGTCTCCAACACAACGTAAACCCACTGGTTTAACATTGTCCACAACACATCGTAAAACCACTGGTTTAACATTGTCCCCAACACAACGTAAAACCACTGGTTTAACATCGTCTCCAACACAACGTAAAACCACTGGTTTAACATCGTCTCCAACACATCGTAAAACCACTGGTTTAACATCGTCCCCAACACATCGTAAACCCACTGGTTTAACATCGTTCCCAACACATCGTAAAACCACTGGTTTAACATCGTCTCCAACACATCGTAAACCCACTGGTTTAACATTGTCCACAACACATCGTAAAACCACTGGTTTAACATCGTCTCCAACACATCGTAAAACCACTGGTTTAACATCGTCCACAACACATCGTAAACCCACTGGTTTAACATCGTCCCCAACACATCGTAAAACCACTGGTTTAACATCGTCCCCAACACAGCGGGACCACTTTGCTTAGGCGCATACAATAAACAGAATGCACGCACAAGCAGGTACAATTATCCTCTCCTTCATTTGTCTGTTCGACCATTCGGTTGTTCGGTAAAACGGTTCACACCCCAACGCACGATGGCGGCATCACCGCGACCGCCACCGTCGCCACCGCCACTGCTACCGCTACCGTCACTCCGCTCCACCACCGCCGCCACCATCGTCACCACCGCTACAAACGACCACCGCCACGCTCACCATCACACCTCTCCGCCACCGCAACCGCCGCCGCCGCTACAAGGCGGCGCCCTGCGCGAGCGCCCGAACGTGCTCGAGTATTTCATCCCCCGACTCCCACGGCACCACGGTGGCCTGCACCGCGCCGGGCTGGGCCTGCTCCAGCGCCGCCAGCGCCCTCTCGAGCTGGTACCCGCGGCGGGGCAGCACCACGTCGCCCGGCAGCAGCGCCAGCGCGGGGCACACGTCGTTGCCGCCGTCGCCGACGTAGATCACGCGCCCGTACCCGCCGTGCCGCTCCACAAACGACCGCAGCGCCGCCCGCTTGCACATGTTGGCGGGGCAGCGGGAGCAGCCGTGCTGGCGCCCGCCGCCGCCGCCGTGGAACGGCAGCAGCACCAGCGAGCCGCCGGCGTCGACGCTCGCCGGGTTGGTGAGAAGCTCGCGGAAGAGGGGGCGGCACCCGCGTGACTCCAGCACCCAGCCGATGAAGGCCGAGTTGGCGTCCGAGACGATGACGCACTCAAACTGCTCGGGGTGGTCGGCTTCAGGAGTGTGGGCGGGGGAGAGGGGGGGGGGCGGCAGGAGGGGGGGGCAGTGTTAAAGTAGTCGGCATCGGTAATCGTAGTCTCGTAGTCCACCATCACCACTGCCACCATCACCACCATCACCACCACCACTGCCACTATCACCACTGCCACCATCACCACTGCCACCATCACCACTGCCACCATCACCATCACCACTGCCACCATCACCATCACCACTGCCACCATCACCACCATCACCACCACCACTGCCACTATCACCACTGCCACCATCACCACTGCCACCATCACCACTGCCACCATCACCATCACCACTGCCACCATCACCATCACCACTGCCACCATCACCACTGCCACCATCACCACTGCCACCATCACCACTGCCACCATCACCATCACCACTGCCACCATCACCATCACCACTGCCACCATCACCATCACCACTGCCACCATCACCACCATCACCACCACCACTGCCACTATCACCACTGCCACCATCACCACTGCCACCATCACCACTGCCACCATCACCATCACCACTGCCACCATCACCACCATCACCATCACCACTGCCACCATCACCACCATCACCATCACCACTGCCACCATCACCACCATCACCATCACCACTGCCACCATTACCATCACCACCATCACCATCACCACCGCCACTATCACCACTGCCACCATCACCATCACCACTGCCACCATCACCATCACCACTGCCACCATCACCACCATCACCACCACCACTGCCACTATCACCACTGCCACCATCACCACTGCCACCATCACCACTGCCACCATCACCATCACCACTGCCACCATCACCACCATCACCATCACCACTGCCACCATCACCACCATCACCATCACCACCGCCACTATCACCACTGCCACCATCACCATCACCACTGCCACCATCACCACCATCACCACCACCACTGCCACTATCACCACTGCCACCATCACCACTGCCACCATCACCACTGCCACCATTACCATCACCACTGCCACCATCACCACTGCCACCATCACCATCACCACTGCCACCATCACCACTGCCACCATCACCACTGCCACCATCACCATCACCACTGCCACTATCACCACCGCCACTATCACCACTGCCACCATCACCATCACCACTGCCACCATCACCACCATCACCACCACCACTGCCACTATCACCACTGCCACCATCACCACTGCCACCATCACCACCATCACCATCACCACTGCCACCATCACCATCACCACCATCACCACTGCCACTATCACCACCGCCACTATCACCACTGCCACTATCACCATCACCACTGCCACCATCACCACCATCACCACCACCACTGCCACTATCACCACTGCCACCATCACCACCGCCACTATCACCACTGCCACTATCACCATCACCACTGCCACCATCACCACCATCACCACCACCACTGCCACTATCACCACTGCCACCATCACCACTGCCACCATCACCACTGCCACCATCACCATCACCACCATCACCATCACCACCATCATCACTGCCACTATCACCACTGCCACCATCACCATCGCCACCATCACGACTATCGTCATCAGAACAAAGACAAAGATCCCCCGAATAGCCTTAAGAGAATGTTAGTGAGAGCACCTATGAAGGCCGGCACGGCACACAAGGGGGTGGGTGGCTAGCACCACGCCCGACCGCATTTGTCTCCCCAGCGGTGATGGTTACACACCGCATCAGGTACTCATTTGAGGCCGAGACGATCTAGGGGAGGACCAGGACCGATTCAGATTATCATCACCGGTGTTGCCCGTGAGCGGGAATCGAACTCGGGTCACCAGGTTCCTAGCAAAGTGGGCGAACCCCTGCTCCACCGCTCCCCACTACCACCACCTCTGCCCATCACCACCTCCTCCACGTTATTATTTCGCTTTGACGTCAGCCGGCATGCACGGCGTGTCCGGCACGTCACCGCGGCGCCCACAATCGTCTCCGCTCTTTCACCACTCGCGGCGGCGGCGGCGGCGTCGGCTCGAACAACAACGCCGGACGAATCCCGAGCCGGGCGCCGGGCCGTCTCGGCACGACGGCCCCGACACGGCCCGGCGGCGCGGTGCGAAAAATTCGGTGCAAAGCGTTTTGGTTGAGCCCACCCCACCGCATTTACCCAGGAAGCGCAGGAGCTGCGGCATGCCCGGCGTGTCCGGCACGGCCTCAATGGTGGCCCGCATCTCGGCGGCAGTGACGCCCACCTCCTCGCCCAGGTAGCGCAGGACCCGGTTCATGTGATCCGTCCAGGTGCCGCCGACGCCGCCACCGACGCCGTCGTCGTCGCCGCGGTAATCCAAGCGCTCCGGCAGCTCTCCGCCGGGGGCGCAGCGCAGCACCCACATGTCACTGTTGTCGTCGATGAGCGTGTGGTCGAAGTCGAACGCCACCAGCGACTTCATGACGGCCGCGTGTGTCGGGGCGCGCGGCGGCGCCGGCGCTGTCGGGCGAAAGCGGACGGGAAGGTTTGGTTCGCACTCTTTAAACGTGGCGGGTGGTTTTTTTTTTTTTAGGAACAAAATACCTCCGGCAGGAACCCCTCGCGGTCTCGCCGGGGGTTCACCGCCGCACGGCGCTCGCGGTGAAGAAGCGATCGCGATCAAATCCAACTCCGGTCGACAGCGTTATGGCGATGGTGGTTTAAATGTGGATTTGGCTGCGGTCATAATGCGGCTGTTACTTAGTTTGTTGTCCTTCACCCCGCACCTCCGGTTAGCACGGTTGGCTACGTAGGGTGCAAAAGAAGTTCATCGTACATATATATATATACACGCATACGTTATGGCTGTGGTTATAACGTGGTTGTGATTGCGGTTACATTGTGGCTTCAGTTTCGGTGTCGATGATGACGACGATGATGACGATGACAATGAGGATGATGACGATGATGATGTCGTCGTTGTCGTCGTCAACAACGAAGATGATGATAGTAAGGATAACATTGTGGCCGATATTGTTGTTGGTGCTGTTGACCGACTAGAGGCCGGTCAAACTTCACTGGGAAACGAATCGCAAGGAATCCGCATCGCTCGCAACGCACCCCAAGTTACATTCCTCGCAAAAATCGCGTGGGCAGAGATCGTAGTGAAATAATTCTAGATTTGAAGCTTCCGTGACTGCAAGGATTCATATTCTTAGGTTTTTTCGGTAAAGTCACGTAGGTAAAAAATTTAAATTAATAAAAAATTAAAATAAAATAAAAAATCTATCGTGCTGTGACGGTTCCACCTGAAGACGGAGGCTTGTGTTACCTCCGAAACGTCGTGATTTTTTATTTATTTTTATTTTACTTTTATTAATTTACATTTTTTACCTACGTGACTTTACCGGAAAAAAAAAATTAAGAATACGTAGTGAAATAACCCGCAAGGAAGCAGCCACGGCGTGGTGCGGCAGCGGAACGACAGAATGCGGAACGACGCGCACAAAAAACAAAGATCCCCCATGTAGCCTTAACAGACTGTTGGGGCAAGTGCTGTTAGCGAGTAGCACCTATGAAGCAACACATATCTGGACCCCCCAACGGATTTTAAGTTTGGTTGGTGTGTGTCTTCTAATTAGAAGAATACGGCAATAAATTAATGTCGAGGATTCGTGATCGATGGTCAAAATATGTGAAATCGCATACCTGTCAACCCGTACTACGGGTTGACCCCTATTCTTGTACAAGGAAATTTAATTTTCAGACTCAGCCGTTTCAATACGGGCAACACCAAACGTCTTCTTGGTTCTTTCGGTAAAGTCACGTAGAAGGGAAATAATAAAATAATAATAAAATAATAATAAAACATAATAAAATACAATTCTCATGACGTTTCGGCCACAACGCAAGCAGCCGTCCTCAGGTGAAGAACAGGTCTGTCGGAAAGACAGCATCTGAATGAACACCACCAAGCTTGGCAGCGTATATTTAAGCTGGGTTGGAGGGGGAAGGGCGCCTTGACAAAGGAATTTGCATATCAACAGAGGAATTTAGCATATTTATGGGAAATGCAGATATGGCATGCGGTGGCTGGGCATGCGGGCTACATGGATCTTTCAAGGATTTGTGAGCTCCTCACACAATCCAGTCTGGTTAAACCCAGGATGGTTTGTAGGCAGGCCAGCCTGAATGTTTCTAACCGGCGAAGATGCTCCATTAGGGGGGTCCACGTACACACAACAACAACAACCACCATTTGCCACTAAGTGGTGGTGACGTCACCACGACGCTTGTGCCAGGCCAAGTGCACCTTGAGGCCACGTGAAGTGTCGAACGCCCGCTGGCAGGAGGTCACGGGGCAGACCCAGCAGGTGCCACGGGTCGACTGACCAAGATGACCGAGATGACTGGCTGATGCACCACCTGTGCCCCCTACTGTGCCAACTTGCTGTGCTTTAGCCACCCGTGGTGTCAATTTACATTTTGTTGGCGGCTGCCCGGATTGGTTGCAGGCCAGTGGTGAGAGATGCCCCCTTTCTGGGGGGTAGCGAGACGTGGTCCAACTTTTTTTATTTCGAAGGCAAACAATCGAAAACGCATATGTATCACGGGCCGCGTCAGTGGCAACTTTGCTTGGTGCCATCAAACCCTCTACGCGGTTGGGGGCCGTCCATAAATGACGTCACGCGATTATGGACGATTTTTGACCCCACCCCCCTTCGTCACACGGCGTCACAAAAAGTCAGACCCCCCCCTCAAATATGACGTCACAAAGCTCTGCCCCCCCCCCCCCCCAAAACCATATTTCCATTTTGAAAATAAAACATGCTTCAAATCGCTTTAAACTATTGTCATTGTAGTGCGTGTTTAATGTGGCGCTGCACTCTGATGTTGTAGGAGAAAACATTTATTAAAAAGTCTATTTAATTAAGTGGAACGTGTTGTCTATGTTTATTTAAAGTTGCGCATTTTGATGTGACGTCACATTTCTCAAACCCCCCCCCCCTCGTCACACATCGTCACAAATGTCTGACCCCCCACCCCCCTAGGTGCGTGACGTCATTTATGGACGGCCAAGGTGTGGGGGGGGGGGGGTGCAAGGCTGCAGTCAAGGTGAAGAATCATCCAATCAGACACATCGCCGATTAATGACGAAGGCTCCACGAACAAAATACGAATAATTACATTTGTAATTATTCGTATTTTTATTCAAAACAAACAACCGAGCGCTATTAATCACAACAAACCCCGCCACTCGAAGGCGGTGAAGTCACCCCACGAGGTCACGTGGACTTGAGGTCACGTGGACTTGTGAGGTCACGTGGCCTTGTGAGGTCACGTAGACCTTGAGGTCACGTGGACATTTGAGGTCACGTGGACCTGTGAGGTCACGTGGACCTGTGAGGTTACGTGACCTTGTGAGGTAACGTGGACCTTGTGAGGTCACGTGGACCTTGTGAGGTCACGTGGACCTTGTGAGGTCACGTGGACCTTGTGAGGCCACGTGGACCTTGTGAGGTCACGTGGACCTTGTGAGGCCACGTGGCCTTGTGAGGTCACGTAGACCTTGAGGTCACGTGGACATTTGAGGTCACGTGGACCTGTGAGGTCACGTGGACCTTGTGAGGCCACGTGGACCTTGTGAGGTCACGTGGACCTTGTGAGGCCACGTGGCCTTGTGAGGTCACGTAGACCTTGAGGTCACGTGGACATTTGAGGTCACGTGGACCTGTGAGGTCACGTGGACCTTGTGAGGTCACGTGGACCTTGTGAGGTCACGTGGACCCTGTGAGGTCACGTGGACCTTGTGAGGTCACGTGGACCTTGTGAGGTCACGTGGACCTTGTGAGGTCACGTGGACCCTGTGAGGTCACGTGGACCTTGTGAGGTCACGTGGACCCTGTGAGGTCACGTGGCCTTGTGAGGTCACGTGGAGCATCGAGCGCCCGCCGGCAGACCCCGGCAAGTGCCGTGGGGCCGCGTTGACCGACCTACCGACCCCGTGGCAACTCACCGCGTTTTCATAATCAATGTTTTTGGGTTTAGATCGCGTTATTTATAAATGTGTCGTAACCCTCCACCACCCGACACGGCCAATCAGTAAAAAAAGTGTCACGTTGACAAAAGACAAAATAGTTCACTGCTTTAGCGTGAAACCACACCATTTACAATTTGAGTAGTACGACGTTTCGCTGGTAATTGCATCCAGCATCATCGGGCAATTCGCCAGAATGGTGAGGCTCTGCTGTGTCTCCCGTTCTTATATAATTACCAGCGAAACGTCGTACTACTCAAATTGTAAATGTTGTGGTTTCACGCTAAAGCAGTGAACTATTTTGTCTTTTGTCAACGTGACACTTTTTTTACTGATTGGCCGTGTCGGGTGGTGGAGGGTTACGACACATTTATAAATAACGCGATCTAAACCCAAAAAACGTTGATTATGAATAATATTGGTCGCGAAAGCCTGCCACGTGTTGAACTCACTGCGTTTTATCCGCCCGCTGTTGTGAGCGTCGCTCCTCCGCCGCTGCTGCTGTTGCTGCTGTTGATGCTGCTGCTGCTGCTGCTGATGGTGCTGATGCTGTTGCTGCTGTTGATGCTGCTGCTGATGCTGCTGCTGATGCTGCTGCTGATGCTGTGCTGATGCTGCTGCTGCTGATGGTGCTGATGCTGCTGCTGCTGTTGATGCTGCTGCTGCTGTTGATGCTGCTGATGCTGCTGCTGCTGCTGTTGATGCTGCTGCTGATGCTGCTGCTGATGCTGCTGTTGATGGTGCTGCTGATGATGCTGCTGCTGCTGCTGCTGGGAGAAACAACTGCCTTCCAACCGCCCCGGCAGTAGCGGTGTCCTTCACGAGCCTCCTCCCTCCCTCCCTCCAAACAAACAACAACAACAACGAGGACAACAACAACAACAACGAGGAGGATGATGATGAGAAGACGACGCCACGGCAGAACGAACGGCTTCGGCGGCACTCCCTGATGCGCGAGTCGCCGCGGTCGCCGCCGGTTCCGATCAGCTGATCGCCACTTCCGGCTCGCGGTGGCCCCTCCCCCCTCCCCCCTCCCCCACCCCCACCCCCTCCCCACTCCCTCCTCCTCCCCCTCCCCCACCCCCTCCTCCTCCCCCTCCCCCACCCCCTCCCCTCCCCCACCTCCTCCCCTGTCCCACCCCCTCCCCTCCCCCACCCCCTCCCCTCCCCCACCCCACCCCCACTCCCACCCCCTCCCCTCCCCACCCCCTCCCACCCCTCCCCACTCCCTCCCCACCCCCTCCCCACTCCCACCCCCTCCCCCACCCCCTCCCCTCCCCCACCTCCTCCCCTGTCCCACCCCCTCCCCTCCCCCACCCCCTCCCCTCCCCCACCCCACCCCCACTCCCACCCCCTCCCCTCCCCACCCCCTCCCCACTCCCTCCCCACTCCCTCCCCACCCCCTCCCCCTCCCCACCCCCTCTCCCCCCCCCACCCCCACCCCCTCCCCCACCCCCCTCCCCACCCCCTCCCCACTCCCTCCCCCTCCCCACCCCCTCCCCCTCCCCACCCCCTCTCCTCCCCCACCCCCTCCCCACCCCTCCCCACTCCCTCCCTACCCCTCCCCACTCCCTCCCACCCCCCTCCCCACTCCCTCCCCCTCCCCACTCCCTCCCCCTCCCCACCCCCTCCCCTCCCCCACCCCCCCCCCCCCCCCTCCCCACTCCCTCCCCCTCCCCCCCCCCCCCCTCCCCCACCCCTCCCCACTCCCTCCCCCTCCCCACCCCCTCCCCCTCCCCCACCCCCTCCCCACCCCCTCCCCACTCCCACCCCCTCCCCCACCCCCTCCCCTCCCCCACCTCCTCCCCCTCCCCCACCCCCTCCCCTCCCCCACCCCCTCCCCTCCCCCACCCCCTCCCCTGTCCCACCTCCTCCCCTGTCCCACCTCCTCCCCCACCCCCTCCCCTCCCCCACCTCCTCCCCCTCCCCACCCCCTCCCCTCCCCCACCTCCTCCCCCTCCCCACCCCCTCCCCTCCCCCACCCCCTCTCCCTCCCCCCCCCCCTCCCCCCCCCCTCTCCTCCCTCCACCTCACCTCCCCGCCCCCTCCCCCCCCCCTCCCCCCCCCCTCCCCTCCCCCCCCCCCCCCCCCCCTCCTCCCACCCCCCCCACCCCCCCCCCCCCCCCCCCCTCCCCCCCCCCCCTCCCCCCCCCCCCCCCCCCCCCCCCCCTCCCCCCCCCCCCCCCCTCCCTCCCCCCCTCCCCCCCCCCCCTCCCCCCCCTCCCACCCCCCACCCCCTCCCTCCCCCCCCTCCCCACCCCCCTCCCCACCCCCTCCCCTCCCCTGTCCCACCCCCCCCCCCCCCCCCCCCCTCCCCCCCCCCCCTCACCTGTGACCTTACGCCCGACCCCCACACTGCCTCTCCCCCCCCCTCCCCCTCCCCCCTCTCCCTGCCCCCCTCTCCCCCCCCTCTCCCCACCCCCCTCTCCCCTCCCCCCCCCCCCCCCCTCCTCCCGCCCCCCTCCCCACCCCCCTCTCCCCCCCCTCCCACCCCCTCCTCCCCCCCCCCCTCTCCCCCCCCCCTCCCCCCCCCCTCCCCTCCCCCCCCTCCCCCACCCCCTCTCCCCACCCCTCTCCCCACCCCCTCTCCCCCCCCCTCTCCCCCCCCTCTCCCCCCCCCCTCTCCCCCCCCCCCCTCTCCCCACCCCCCCTCTCCCCCACCCTCATCCCCACCCCCCTCTCCCCCACCCTCTCCCCACCCCCTCTCCCCCCCCCTCTCCCCCCCCCTCTCCCCCACCCCCTCTCCCCCCCCCCTCTCCCCGCCCCCCTCTCCCCCCCCCTCTCCCACCCCCCTCTCCCCCCCCTCTCCCCACCCCCCTCTCCCCCCCCCCTCTCCCCACCCACCCCTCTCCCCGCCCCCTCTTCCCCCTCTCCCCCCCCCCCTCTCCCCCCCCCCTCTCCCCACCCCCCTCTCCCCTCCCCCTCTCCCCCCCCTCTCCCCACCCCCCTCTCCCCGCCCCCTCTCCTCCCCACCCCCTCTCCCCCCCCCCTCTCCCCACCCCCCTCTCCCCCACCCTCTCCCCACCCCCCTCTCCCCCCTCCCCCCCCCTCTCCCCCGCCCCCTCCCTCCCGCCCCCCCTCTCCCCCCCCCCCTCTCCCCCACCCTCTCCCCACCCCCCCTCTCCCCCCCCCTCTCCCCGCCCCCTCCCTCCCGCCCCCCCCTCTCCCCGCCCCCCCCTCTTTCCGCCCCCCCCCCTCGTTTCCCCCCAGTCATTTATCATCTCCCCCACTCGCAGTGACGTCATTTATCATCTTCCAACTCGTAGTGACGTCATTTATCATCTCCCCATTTCGCAATGACGTCATTTATTATCTCCCCGGAAGCAGTGACATCCTCCGTTTGCTTCTCGGAGTGACGTTGTCATCCCCCCCCCCCTCACTTTCCACCACCATTACATTACGTCATCGTCTCTTTCCTCCATTTCCCTCTCACAGTGACGTCATGTTCTCTCTTCATCTTCGCTCGCGCAGTGCCAGTCAATCTCCTCTCTCGGTTACGTCATTCCTCCCCCTCACTTCGTTTTGCTCCGCCCCCTCCCCTCAACCCTGTCACGGTGACGTCATGTCTCCGGCTGGCACGCTCTCGGCGTGACGTCATCTCGCCCCTTGTCACCGTCACACTCGGCTCTCTCTGACGTAGCAGCTCGCTCTGCGCTTCAGTGACACATCGATAGAGAATAAGAATGAAGAGATACAATTCGTACACAAATCATACACAATTTTATTATGTTTTATTTTCATTATTTTATTATTTCCATTCTACGTGACTTTACCGAAAGAACCAAGAAGATGAATCCCTGCGGTCACGAAAGAAGCTTTAAATCGAAATTTAAACGACCAATTACGTGTTTGACTCCCCCTCACTCCAGCCAGCCAGCCAGACAGCAAAACTTTGTATTGTACTGCACAGGGCGGTCCAGATGTCATGTGACCCCAAATGAATTGACCTCTAACATTGTTGTTACCATTTGCACGTTCATTTGTTTTAAATAAAAATACGTTTTAATGCTGCGTTTTTAGAGAATTAAATGCGGGGGGTGGGGGATAATATAAATAAAAGTTGTAAGTACTGGCGAAACGTCGTACTCGGATTGTAAATGTTGTGGCTTTGCTCTCCAACACACAAACGGTGGTGCTGTACAAGTATACTACACTATACACTACACTATACTACACTATACACTACACTATACACTACACTATACTACACTATACACTAGTGCTGTACTAGTATACTACACTATACACTACACTACTATACACTACACTATATACTAGTGCTGTACTAGTATACTACACTATACACTACACTATACTACACTATATACTACACTATACACTAGTGCTGTACTAGTATACTACAATATACACTACACCATACACTACACTATACACTACATCATACACGACACTATACACTACACCATACACTAGTGCTGTACTAGTATACTACAATATACACTACACCATACACTACACGATACACTACACCATACACTACACACTACACTAGTACTGTACTAGTATACTACAATATACACTACACCATACACTACACCATACACTACACCATACACTACACTATACACTACACTACTATACACTACACTATACACTACACTATACACTACACACTAATGCTGTACTAGTGACGAATTGACCACGTTCTGTTTACGTGACAAACCTTACTAGTTAGCTGTGTCGGGTGGTGGTGGGTTTAACGACACATTTATATATTTACGCGATCTCACCCACAAAAAAAACCTCTATTGTGGATGATATTGGTCGCGAAAGCCTCCCACGTGTTCAACTGAGGTGACGTTTGTTTTGGGGGCAGGCCTTCATCCAGCAGTGGACAGACCAGGGCTGACGACGATTAAACACAAACGTCACGTGGACCTTACCTGGAATAAACTGATTAAAATAAACGCGTTTTGATTCTCCGAAATAAGTTACATTGAACGTACGCGTAATGTCAATGCCAATGTCATCAATTATTATTTGGTTCTTTCGGTAAAGTCACGTATAAAGATAAAATAATAAATTAAATAATAGCATATTACGACGTTTCGATGGCAACACAAGCAATCATCATCAGGTATAAAAGAAATAGCAACAAAAATCTAACCGGAAAACTATAGACAGACACACAAGCAGACAGACATCATGAAGACACACAGAGAGAGAGGGAGAACACGTATCGGCACAAAGAGAGAGGTCGTTTCTGTGACGAGGCCTTAAATATAGAGAGGGGGCGGATAGAGGGAGGGGGCAGAGACAAAATTAGCATGTCAATGAGTGGACGACGACGCGGTACGGTAAGCGAGACGATGATGATGATGATGATTGCTTGTGTTGCAATCGAAACGTCGTAGTATACTATTATTTAATTTATTGTTTTATCTTTATACGTGACTTAACAGAAAGAACCAAAGAATAATTCCTGCAGTCACGAAAGCTCCAAAATTGAGATTGTCACCAATTACTTTTTGTTATTGAATCTGCTCCACGTCACAGTTCCTATGATCACTGTTTCATTGCTTTCATGAATTTATTTTGGTGATTTTCGAAAAGTGTATTGGTTTGGCCATGTTTGTTTGTTGTAGTACAGAGTTAGACTGATGGCCTTAATCTAAGTTGTCTTGTGGTTGTTGTTGTTGTTGTTGTTTGTTGTAGTACAGAGTTAGACTGATGGCCTTAATCTAAGTTGTCTTGTGGTTGTTGTTGTTGTTTGTTGTAGTACAGAGTTAGACTGATGGCCTTAATCTAAGTTGTCTTGTGGTTGTTGTTGTTGTTTGTTGTAGTACAGAGTTAGACTGATGGCCTTAATCTAAGTTGTCTTGTGGTTGTTGTTGTTGTTTGTTGTAGTACAGAGTTAGACTGATGGCCTTAATCTATGTTGTCTTGTGGTTGTTGTTATTGTTTGACTTGCATCCCACTGGGATTTTTGCACACAGCG